TCTCATTGAGATGTCACTGTTATCTGATAAAATGACAAGGAAAATGTATGTGCTCTATGATACTGAGGCACGCCAAACACTTAAAAACGTGTAATCTCCGAACTGTGTTTTATTCCACATAACTTAAGATATAGGAAAAATACGAGTTTTCTAGTATGTGACGTGATCTTCACGTTTATTACAGTTGAGGAAAATTATATTGACAATAATCTACAAGTATATTTTCATTAAATGAAAGAAAGAGCCATTATGCATACTTCAGATGAAGCTGAATTTAGCACCATATCTGATGATGATTTTAGCATTGTACTTACACCTTATCAAGATGCTGATTATTTTGAGGCCATACCTGGGAACAATAAGATAAAATCAGAACTGAAATACACAAGTAAACATACAAAATTTAGTTAAGTACGACGTTCCGTTGACATAAGGGCAGATAAAATGTTCTAGTAAAGTGAAGTTGCGCACAGTAAAGTAATTTAAGAAATTGATTTTGCATTGGAATCAAACAGATTGTATGGTAATACCGAGACAATACATAGCCGAGCATAGGATAATACACATACCTATGAATCACTAAATTCTTTTCAAATGTTTTGACAGACAATCCAATCTTAGGATACATGGTGAGCATTTCTTCACCTTACGCTCAAAGCTCTACTCTAGTAGAAACACAACTGACTAACACACTGTCAACTTTAGAAGGATACAATCACAACACAAGTAAAGAACAAAACGATCCCACCTGAGTAGGTCGTCTCGATGAAATGTCCACACAAATACCGCGTCGCGGATTCAGTGTTACCACAAACACGCACCTGAGGCTACGTGCCTACTCGAGAAAGTACAAGTAAGAGAAGAAAGTGCGTGGACGCAAAAACAAGCGTCCGACTGTCGGATTGGAATTCAGCACAGCCCACCGTGCGAACTAAATATTGGGAATTATATGGGGAAAGATGGTAGATTATCAAGTGTGAAATGTGGATATATTTCGTCGAAATTAGTTGACAAAGAATTTCTAGTTTGTAATTTTGTTCAAGACAAATAAATCTAAGAAGAAATTGTAAAAACACAGGAGACATAATTTTCGTCTAGTTACTTCAGACAGAAGGACACAAGGACCCCGATTCAATCTAGTCTGCAAGTGTACTACGGTGCAACTAATGTTAATGGCAAGTGGAACAAACTTCAAAATAGTTACTAACATTTACTTGAAAACCACTGCAATAATTACTTTTCACGCCTGTCTAGTAAGATTTCCAAGTGACCAGCATAAACTGATGTCTGGTTGTTTATTCACTGAGACAATCATTATGACCGTAGAATATGTTAAATCATAAAACAAAACAACTTTTGTTCTCACATGTAACTAATACAATATCGATATAAGGTAATTATATGGAAAATATTTTCTTACAGTTTCTAGAACGACTTAAGAAAAAGCTTTAACTTCGAAAGATGTAATTAATGAGCAATGAATGCAGTACTATGCAGTAAGGTGTCAAGATCAAACATAAGGAATGTACTTTAAAGGTGAACAAGTTTCTATGCGTATACTTCTCATTAGTTACAACACTTCGTCCGCAATTTTGCGTATGTCTCCGTGACTATCCTTCTATCGTGAATTCGTGATCAACCCAAAAAAGATCACAGATTTAAACTTTTAAAACATTAAATCAGTGGACTTTGTTTTTCATGGATTCGTGTAAAGCAATCGACTATCAAGTTTAGCATGTATGTCCAGTGTGGCTACTTAAGCTTAGTTACCATGACCAGAAACTATCAGGGACACACCGGAGAAAAGCACACGCGTTCAACACACTACTCATAAACGGAATGCAAGGACACATAAACCTAAATACTTAATAAAACGAATTTCCGAAAGCAATAAACGATTGTACCATTTTCTTGTCGCTTGCATCTTTAACTTTAGATCTAAAATTGTTTAAATGTGATGTGATGAGTCATAAAAAATGACAGTGGCGTTATCTCTATGGCAACTGATTTTATTTTAAGTCCTTCCATTTTATTGTTAAGTCTCTTACAATTACTCCTCTTGTATTCTTAAATATTGTTCATACTTGTATTATTTTAAGTATGTATTTTTCTATCACACCTACCTTAACTGCTACTACGTTTGGTATCTAGTACGACAAACCTTTTAGAGCGCCATAGCCTTGAGCCTAAGCATTAATTTGATTATACAAACTGATCTTCTAGTGCCCCAGTTTCAGCAAGAACTTATAGTTCAACTGCTACAAGTAACACTTTTGAATTTTATGATAATGTTATGTAAGCCGAGGCTGATTCAGCCCATATTGTGTCGTGTCATTTGTTCTCTTCTTGAATGAATGCTATAAAGCAAAAACTTGTTGAAAGGAAAAAAATCGTACATGACTGTTTCTTAATTTTATAACAGAAAGAGGAAATTTGCTGAAGTCAAAATTACTTGTTCACTGAATTCCACAATAGCAAATCTCTGCTAATATGGTAGGTTGATGGATAAATCCTTAGCAATTGGTGTCAAGAACGATTAACTAAGGATGAAAATAGTCGCAAACTTTATATCGCTTATTAATAGACCGAAAAGCATTCATTTCTATATAGATAGCAGTGTAACAATTGGCAACAGTCATAGGAAGTGGGCGACTGTGGTGAAATATGTGCCATAGTTTTTTAACACGGCATTTTACTAGTATGTTGGGCCTACGAAACCGATTGCGGTATTCTGATGTTTGGTAACAGCATTGAAATGGTATCAATGTTAATTGGGCTTCCAGAATTACATGCACAGTTATGTAGATATTTTTGTTTGAAATTGAATGTAAAAAATTCACTAGGTGATTTTATAACAGCAGGAAACCGTCATATGCGGCTCACATGTTACCATTCATATCGATCCACATATTAGTCATTTGGATGGGTTTTTCTTGGCAGGTAATATCCACAAATGTGCGCAAACACATTAATATAACAATAACAATTAACTATCTAAATATCAAAGTAGGTAAAACTCAGAAAAACTTATTAAGCGATGAGTCAGAACAACATCCACATTTGTACAACAATGTACAAGAAAAATTATATACGCTTCAGTAAAGTAACAAGTTAGTGAACATATAGTAGAGATAAAACACGCGGGCAACACGGTATTGCATTTAAAGTCACACGATTGTCAAACAATCATGGAGACATAGCTGATACTAGAAACCGAGATTCTACTCTAGGGTTAAGATAACCTTGTAGGCTTTGAGATAACATTGACTGCAAACGATGTATTAAGATTAAACACATGAGACCATGTCCTAAACCTTGCCTTGCAAAGAATAATAGAAGAGTGAAGATGGACTATGAATTTATGGTAGATTGTTTTCCACACATAAATCTGAGGCATTAAGCAATGCGATTAAACGAAAGTGGTTGTTGACGGTAGGCGGAGCGTGGGATAGAAGCAGTTTCTATGTGGGTGCAGTGATATCAAGAACACCTACAGTTCGGTGACGTACTAATATGCTAATGTAAAAATCTCGGCGAAATCGCTTCTATAGTAAGACTGATGTCATCTCAGGCCCTCGGAATAATTTCTAAGTTATTTTTTGCAACTAATAAGTCTGCTTTGTCATGTACTAGCTTCTGCCCGCGACTTCGTATGCGCAATTCTATTTTCTCCAGTTCCCGTAGGATTTTCAGGACTTTTTCTGTCATAAGAACCTTCTCCTAATAATAACAAATACATCAAAAATAAATTAGTGAAATCGGTCCAGCCATTCATGCGTGATGCCGTCACCAAGGGAAAAGGGATGGTTTCTTACTTACTACGTCAATATCGTAAAAACGTTCAATAATTTTATTACTTTATTCCAGCACATACCAACACAAACAGTATAAACTTCATTCTTACAATGACAAGCATCCAGAAAATCCGATACCTCTAGATTCACTGCAACAATTTTTATTATATGGAAATGTGGTTTTATTCACATGAAGACACTAACAAGCGCGTCGGAATACACGTTAATTTGTTTTGTTACAGCGCTTTAAGATTCATCTGTCACATATTTTAGTCAGTTACTGTATTTGTGACCGTGAAGCTAAAAAAGAATTGTAATGACTCACAATATTTGAAAAGAAAAATGGTGTTTCAAGTTTTGCTGCAGGAATAAGGGGAATACATTATAGCATAAAAATAACTCTGGGAGAAATACCAAAAATGAGAGTGAAACAATTTAATCGGACGTAATAGCACATACCGGTGTAAACTAGGCCATCTAAATATACATTTTCATATTGTTTCCCAAACACCTGTTCATAACATAACAGCATCATAATATAACATTGTTTGGCCTTGATTTACAGCTCACAATCCCCGCATAATGACTGTCGACAACTTTGTTGACCAAACAAAAAATGACCCAACCGACCGATCATGGATTGTAACAAGATGCAAGACAAAAGACGCAGTAAGTACTTTGTACAAATTAGAAAATTCTGTGTCAAATGAATTGCAGTCTGAAGTGGTCAAATTACCATATGTGAAGTATTTGTTCAACGATTGACAGTCGCGTCTCGTCTGCATTGGGGCCATAGAAAGTTCTCCATCTTGACAAAGCTGAAATTGACCATATACAATCTGTTTAGGTGTGGATTTGCATTACAAATATTAGAATACAACCATCAGAATGGTCACTTTCGACATGATATTATTTGGTAACCGTCCAAACGTATCAGAAGTTATTTGGTTGCGGTTGAAAACGAAATTGAATATATCTTGGGTGTCAAGATACATTTTTGAGGTTACGTATTGGGAATAATTTAAACTCCGATACCAAATATAACCAAACAGGAAAAGTACTACTATACAATCCAACTTAAACATTTAGTAATGCGTAACACAAGGAAGGCCATCGGCAAAAATAATAAATCTCGCCTCTTCAATTCCACAACTTTCGTGTAAGTTTAAAAACTCTCACTCATTTAAATTCCAACAGACATACATAATGTCTTTAGAAGACAATAAAAACTATGAGTTGTGGGCGTCGGCTGGCGTTCCCATGACGACTGCACAGTTCACAGTTAACCCAACTGTTAGCATTAAGCATTGTCACGTATCGACCTTTGCAAAACTTGTTTACCTGTTTGCATACATAAATATAGGCCCTATTTCAACGCAGTAAAGGATACGAAGGAAGTTAAGATCATTTTGCATGATATGTCTCAGGTTATTGGAATAGTAAAGGGCTTGCGACTTCCTCATGATGTTCGCATGCGGAATGCGTGAATAGATGATGATCATAGAAACTTTCTCATGATGTGATTGGCTTTGTATAAAGATAACAATTCTGATGACTTTCTTATACAGATTCCAAAGAAGAGTTTAGACGGTGACACAGGTCGAAATAAATGATTGCATAAAACACACCTGAGAAACAATCACTATTTCGCAGTAAAAATACTTCGTTATTGGGACCCATAACTCCAACACTAAAAATATTCATGTGACAAAACAAATAAACAAGCCTATTCAAACTGCAGATGTTTCTGAACAATCTGATGGTCCCAAACGTGTTCAGAGCACGCTGACAGCAATTAATTAGATAAAATCATAAGCTTGGTTCACACTTGAGGTCACAGACGTGAGGTTCACGTTATTGATCGCTTTAAAATAAATTGAATATCCCAGAGCAACCAACATTTATTATTGCCAATTTCTCCGACGTCCATTTTTATTAGATTTTTTAGTATAACGGTCTGGCATAACATGAAGATTGCCAATTTCGCGCCCATTGTGCGTCCATGTCAATGACAGACTGCCTAGCTGCCTTTTTGCTTGCCGGACAGTAAAAAACTTCGAGTGGTGCGATGTACAAGAACCTGTGTATTACAACATGCGATGTAGAGAATAATGACGTAATCATTAAATTCTGTAACATGACAAATAAAGGTACCTAACTAATTTCGGAATATTTGCGGTTTGTCAAAAATCAACAGTTGAAGCCAGATTTACAATACTATTTTAGACGAAAATGTGAAGTACCTAGGTACCCAAAGTATGAGTTTATTTCTGTAAGTTTCAGAACAACAAAACTGTAACTAAAACTATACAAAAATACTTTTTCTAGTCCCTTAGCTAACGCTATTCCACACTTAATGGTAGTGACCGATTTAATCACACATTTCAAACTTCCTTGTTGTTTAAAACCAAAATTAATTGCACTTGAAATGATATAAATAATGACAGCTTGTGAGAAGCGCATTAATAATGTGTAAGCCTTTAGGGTTTAACCTACCTTTAGAAATTCGGTCATCCAGTCTATTTTAAAAAAAATCTGTTGACCCTTAAATCTGATTGAGCTAAGTTAGATAATCCTGCTGACTTACATTAATCGGGTATTATATATAATACAGCCTCCTGTTATCGGACTGTTATGTATAACATGATCGATATATTTAATTATTAGGACTAGTAATCACGTAGCAGGAAATAAGAGGACAAACAGTATGTTATCACCACAAATGGACTACTGAATATAGGTAGTATTGCTTTAAAAACGGTGTTGGGCCAGATTTTTTGGTTAAAAAGAGAAAGCAAATGAAAATAAAAACCTGGTCGGTTAGTTATTTACAGGTTTTGAGTGACTTACGAGATTTGGTGAAATGTTTTCAAAAGATTATTGTAAGGCCTGTCAACTCTCAGGTCAGATCCTTAGTTCAATAAGACGTAATTTATAATAAGAGTTATAATTATAAATTACAACCAAACAAAATATCCCTTCAATAAGGAAACATGTTCTAAATTCAATAGAAATGAAATATCTTATTATATCGAGCGAGAATTTAGACAAAAAAAGCCAATTGAGGAAACTTAATACGCACACGAAGCGTACGTTGGTATTTGTGAAGCCAAGAATGAACTAAAGGGCAGAACAAAACCGGTTGATAGTAAAATGTCCAGATTGCCGAATACCTTTGGGTCACGTTTTACGTGTTTTATGTGGCTCTGTGGTTGGCGTTCCGGTGTTAATTTGTAAATTACCGATAAAATATATCGGGAATTTTGTGCTGTGATGGCTAATAAAGCGGTTAAGTAGCTGAGGCAGGCGTAGCAAATTTTAGGGAGTTCATTTTTGGAGAAGGTTAATTGATGTATACCGAATAACTAATTTTATATCATAGTTTTGGACAGTTGAAAGAATCCGATTAAAGTTCTTATGTTTCTTATATTCTAAGTAACCTTTATGTTCCATTAGACGAATCTCTCACTCTTTTAAGGGGAAAGTGATGTTGAGTTTTTAGTGAATCAGAATTTTGCAACCTATTCATTCACAAGTACATACGCTTATCTCAACAACTTTGGGATACTACTTGATATCTTTCATTTGGCCATCGGCGATCCAAGCATACTTAAGCGCTCGTGTCATAGGAGTAGGTACTCTTTTGGAAAATTCATCATGAAGCGAAAGCTTTATAAAAAATATATTTCATGAACATTATGGATTTAAGTGCCAAGTTATTTATGGATTAATAGACAATTAATGGCTAAAAACGCTTCATGGCGAGTAATAACTGAACCTTTTTTGCACAACTATTACATTACGAATGCATCAGTAGGTGACCTTAATTTCGGGTCTAGTATGTCTAAGTAAATGATGAATGAGGGGTGCATCTGCCCATAGGAGGTTCCTAATCCGATTTTTCTAGTACAGTTTAGAAGACTTTTTAAATTTTAATGGCTTTGATAGAAGTTTCATTGCTTTGAACAGTATTATAGGTCGTAAAGAATGTTGCGTGACTTCATCATTGGTTTCACACATAAATTAACCTAGCTACAGCTACATCTAGTTTGTATACTCTATTGACGACTTTCGAAAGGTCACAATGGAGTGACCGTTCGTTTATTCGGTGCTGTCAGTAAGGGTTGAATTACCCTTGTAAATTATACGTCATCAGGGTTTTTCATTAGTCAAATCAATAGCCATGCACAAGTCATGTCGTGTTTAGTGCTCTACCTACCAGCTTTTAACACGAAACAAAGTTCATTGAACCTCTTACTTGCGAGTGTGATGACTAATTACCGTTATTGACTAACAATTGATAAGCGTGGAGGTTGTGTTGTTTATAGCTATTCAATTGTAATTAATATCACAACAATCAGGTTTTATATGCGTCTGGAATGAAACCATGACCTGCAGTTTGTTAAATAATGCACTGAATTAAAATAGTTCATTCTTCATGGAGGGTCCCACCATATTTATTTTTAGCGTTTGGCGCCAAATGCATCTGACAGCTGTAACCATCGACAAAACGAAAAAAAAAATCTGAGTGTTGTCTCTTTTTACTAGTTTTTGCAATAAAAGGTAGCTTATGTACTTATATTCTTCCCCAAATTAAATTTTATTTCTTCTCTATACTAAATTTGAACCATGAAAATGTAACAGACAGACAGTTACTTTCACATTTATAATAAGTTAAAATGAAATGTATTAAATTTCGCTTATTAGTTATTTAACTAATCAAAATAACACATAATTTTATTAGGGCCAAGATCAGTGTGACAATGTTAGTAATTTAAGAACAGATTACTGTAATTATCTCATTATGTTATGTTTTCAAACTAATTGTCATTGCAGATTTAATTACAACAAGTACCTATCTAACAAGCATAATCAAACAAAATGAGGTCAAATTCAATCATTCTCATATTACATACAAGTCACACCACTACACTTAAATAAATAAATGTTTATTTGATAGTTTCAATATCACAAAATAAATAATGTTGAATAAATATTTTTTATTTGTAGTGTGTAAGTAAGTATGTGCCTACTTTATTCTCATATTAAATATTAAAATAAATACAGATTTAAGTACTTCAATTCTAGAGCAACACTATTAAACTTGAAACTAAAAACAGGTTATTTAATCTGTCAAAAATATGTGAATTCATTAACAGTTTACTACAGAACTGATTTCTCTAAACTCTGTGTTCTTCCTAACAGATAAAAAAAAAAGTGTTTCCAGTAACAATAATACATTATATCAATGAGGTTTTACTACATACTTCAGTTTTTATACTTTTGTAAAAACTAATTGTTGGCAATAATAAGTCAGTTTTGCTGGGCCATCTGCCAGACTAGGTCAATAACCGACCATGTCTATGGTAGGTGAATCAAGTTTTTTCTAGGTAACTAGGTAAAACTTCATGTACCAAATTATGCCAAATGAAAGTGGTTTTAGAAAATATTGTATACAAGTATTTGATTTGTTGAGACGTTGGTAACTAATTATAGGTCTTCAACTAAAGTGCAATGATTAAGAACAAATTAAAACTTATAGTATGGTATAGAATTAGAAATTGGTCACAGTAATAGTAAATTAACTTAGTAATTGCTTTGGTAACATTCGAAATGTTCAATAATGGCATATGATTAATAATTAAAGTATTCAAGAAAGTGACTATAATAGCTAAGCCAAATAATAGTTACAATTCTTATTCACAGATCTACAGTCACAGCTAGACAGTCCACATAAAAATAGATGAGTTGAAATATCCACATTATTTTTGCGAAACCAGCACGACAGATCGGCTGTCTCTGTCCGTTCCCAACCAACTGTGTTATTTTTAAAACGGTCCCAATTCCCTAGAAACGTCTTGTGTAATAAATGAGTTTATTAAATTAATGTGCACCAATCGAGTGCTACACCAGTTCAGACTGAACTTGTCGTATTCTATTCAACTAACTGTTCCAATCCAAAATTATCACAACTGCTCAGAACTATAAATAGAAAATTAAATGCCCTGGAAATGATAAAACTGCACTGCGCTGCGACGGTACTGTCTGTACATGTGATACGTGTGCACTTACTACGTACGTAAACAAATATCAGGAAAAACACAGGTGTTTCATAGATCGCGTATCAGACAAGCAACAGGTGAAATTCGATGCACAAGGAAATCGTCTTACAGCCTAGTCACAAGAAACCTGTACCGGCGTGCCACCGATCTTCTCAAAAACATACTTTCACGTCACATCAGCGATAAAATACATAAAAAATTCACCATCACCTACTAACATCACTCTTTCCACGTAAGGTGAATAAAACAATAAATACCTTTTCCTTCGCACGTCCGGCATGTTTTTGCACTGTTTTCGCGATCAACGCACCTTTACTTTCAGCCATTTCAATCACTATTTCATTCCAAAACGTCTTTATTTCGATACACTATCAATCTGCAACCGAATCTGGCTGCAGCTGTTTGCTGTCACACGTCAAAATCCAAATGCGTGCTGTCGCCGTTTTGTACTGCCGCGAATGAGAGAAAATTGTCACCCTAGCGCCTCGTTCTCGTTGGACATTGAGGCTCCCACTAAGTCCGTTGTATGACCAATAGATGGCGCTCTACTACTATTCAGGCATTTTCGAAAGATTTTGGATGAGAAATTATAATTTGAATAATACGATAATTAAGTAAAACAGATCTGATTTTATGAATCATACTTTTTGTACTATATATTTTACTATTATTATAACCTACATCTTACATGTACAAAAGTTTTCTTTGACTATTGATTAGTTATTAGTTTTTCAGGTTAAATGAAATTTGTTATAATTTTATTTCAAAGGAATAATAAAACGACTCATACATCAAAATTTAGAGCAACATTGACACTATTGACAGCACAAAATTTGACAATGACAACGACATTTTATTGAATGTTTCTAATTTTGAATTTTGTTGAGCGTTTGTTTGTTTATATCTGAATATTTGTTGATTTTGGTTATTTCATAATATATTTACTAAAAAACCATGGTAAGTTATAATAAATCACCGCAATAAATGTTTTCTATGATCCTTTCCTCAGTAAATTGTTGTTATGGAAATTATTACTTGTATCAAGGAACCACGGACGGAGCTCCAGAAGAATGCCATTGCAGAGGCTCGTCGCAAGGAGCTCAGTGTATACCAGCGTGCTCTGGACATGCAATGGTTGGACAGCCGCATGGCGGACGGTCGAATGGGCCGCTGTCTGGCGCTCATTCAACGGGAAGCTGAGATGGAAAGACAGTTTCAAGAAGTAAGTATTTAATACATTAACGGGACAGACTTTCTATTACGGGTAGTGGTGTTGCCCATTTTTAAGGCTTTTTATAAATACAGAAGTTGTGGAGACTCGTCGTTGAAATGAAAAGTACAAGATTCATGGAAAGTACAACCCAGTAACGAAACATACCTGTTCATTCAGAGAGAATTTGGGAGTCAAATCAATCTCTTTTTTCTTTTCTTTTTAATTTTGTACTACCTGTTGAATAAATGCTTTTTCTTTCCTTCTGTTTTTTCTAGAGAACAGACCATGCAGCCATTGTAAATGCCAGAGCTGAAAGAGAAACAAAATTGGGCACTGAAGTAGCCAATGTTCGTCGCGAAGAAGTCTGCCAATTGCTACGGCGACACTACTTGCGAGAAAGAGACCCGAGCCTCAGGGACCTTGCTCGAAAACTCCAAGCCGGATATGTCTGCAGAGATATACAGCAGCAAATTATACATAATGAGTACAGAAGGTTACAGGAAAAGGTAAAATGTTCAGGGTTTTGTTAATAAGAGTTGAGCTTATGAAATTTAATTAGTTATAATAAATCTTATGCTTTCTTAATATGTTGATATATCATACTGTAAATTGATAGAGACAAAAGAGGGGTGAATCGATACTATGAAGAATTTCCCAATATCTATTCACCCCTCTTCTGTCTCTATTCACCTCTTGATCCCTATTCACCCCATTTTACCGTCAATTTTTTCATACAAAAATAGTCTCTAAACATGAGAAATAAGGTCTATTATGGAGTAAGTGGAAAGTAGACTCCGGTGACCGCTTGGGGATTGAGCAGTTAATCTAAGCAAGCATCCATAACAACAATCTAACTGATATTCTGTTTAAAATATTGTTAAATATTATGTTGTAGTTTTTGTGCAAACACATGTAAACTGTGTGATGTCTACCACATGTTATTTTAACTAGGTACTTTGTCAAATACTAAATTATTATTATGCTGATGTTTGTTACTCTGACCTAACCCAAGACTTTCCTTATAAATTGGATCGAAACCTCAACAATTGTATTTGCTTAACTAAAAACTCAAGTTTCGAACCACAGAGGGGTAGATTTAGTGTCTCACGATAGTTATTATAAAAACAATTGTATTCGCTTCGGACTTAGTAAATACGACCATGTCTCATCCCTTTCGCGCTCAGCTTAAATGGCTTCCTATCTTTGAGAGGCGATCCCTTAGATACCATTTTCGCCGATTCTCAATTTGACTGGGAAAAAATGGCATTTGACATTAAGTCCGCCTTATGTACCTTATATTTGTGTGCATAAATAGTTAATAAATAAATAAATAAATTAGGAATCATAGAAAATCATGCTTTAACTTCTATTTTTTAGGCAGAAGAAATGCGTGCAAACAATATTCTGCTGAATGCTCTGGCTGATGACAAAGAAGCAATGGGTAAGGAGGAGAAAGAGAAGATGGACCGGACTTCACAATATTGTAAGGAGTTACAACAGCAGTTGGTGAACAGACATCTGCAGAAACAATGTCAGTATGAAGACTCCTTGATTGAGAAGAAGATGCTTGAGGATATTATACGCACTATTTCTGATGAGGATAAGAAGTTAGTATATTTATGTCTATGGTAATGTAGGTAATTAGGTATACATACCAAGCAGAATCAGATTAAACTCAGAGAGCGCCTTAAGCAGGCACCTTGTGAGCGCGCCTACTTTTTTTGGCGCCACTGTCACTAATGGCGCGCGTATTTCACGAAGTCGTCGCTCTGGCCCCCTAAACCTACCGCCCTAGATATTTGCCTACTTTAGAGATAATACTCTGCTATCTATCTTTAATTGTTTTTTTGGAACTTTCATTCAGAAGTATCTTTCATATTCTGATGTGATTACATCTTTCTCTTATTCTGATTCTTTCTGATTAGAAAGAAATGTGTTATCGTAATAAATATTTATAAAAATAACAAATTGAAAGGATAAGCTTTACAAACCGGATCTATGTTGTAACAACGTGTTTATTTCTGTTTATTTGACAATCAGTGGTATTGACCCATTCCAAGCAAGCTGATCCAACTGATCGTATTATGATTTATAAATATTTTTAATTGAATGATTAATCAACCATATTTCAGGGAACTGCAACAGAAACGTGCCATTACTGAGAAGATGCGACATGAGATGAAGACATTCCTCCAAGCTCGTGATGCTTGGAAGCAGAAACAGAAGTTGATGGTCATCCAGGAGGAAAAGAATATTGAGGAGCAAAACAAGATGGTCACTGATAGGAGTTCTGCAATGTAAGTTATATTCTACATTAGTTACTTTTGAGCGATTTCACTCGCTCTGCTCGGCGCCTATTAATCGTAGCGTGATGTTTAATAGCCTAAAGTCTTCGTCGATAAATGAAGTATCCAATACAAAAGGTTTTTTTTAAATCGGACCAGTAGTTCCTGAGATTAGCGCTTGAACACACAAACAAGCAAACAAAATCTTCAGCTTTATATAATAGTATAGGATTTACTAGACCACTCTCTCTTTCCACGAGTGGACTCGTACTTACCTATTAATTTGTTCAGCAAGTATATTAAACTTTTATCAATGCAATAATGATTGAATTGAATGACTGCCTCATTGGCCGAGTGGTCGCAAGTGCGACTGCCGGGCAAAGTATTATTGGGTTTATGAAAAAATTCTCAATAGTAGCACGGAGTCTGGAATCTCACCCCCTATTGCATGGGACTCATACCATAAATAGTGAAAAGTGGGTGTTACATTGTACAGTGGCATTAAGTTACGTAATGTGCACCTCTTCGTACCCCTTCAGGGTTAAATGGCGTGATGTTATGTTATGTTAAAAATGATTAACGCTCAAACCTTTTTCATGTGAGTAGTGGCCGTTGGTCGGCAGTAGCAACTGGCACTATATTCTGTTGATAAAGTATTTTAAACAAGAAACCTATTTTATTTTAGTTTTACAAATTAAAATGGTTATTTATGTTTCAGATTAGCAGCACGGGACGAACGGATGCGTAAGAAAGAGGAATTCACTGAAAAAATGTCTGCAAAAATATTGGCCGACGATGTATGACGTTGTTTTAATATTTTATATACATAATTAATTTAAATAAAAAATCAATGATTCCAACCCGCATCGAGCAAGCGCGGTCATCAATGCTCAAACCTTCATTGCAGTGAGCATTTAAATGATATGGTTTAAGAAATGATCCTCACTGATTGAAACTGAAATGATTTCCAACATGTTTTTTTATGGCATAAGCTGGTAAACGAGCAGATGGATCACCTGATGGTAAGCTATCGGCGCCGCCCATGGACACCTGGAAAACCAGAGGCGTTACAAGTACGTTACCGGCCTATTGGGGATTAGGAGTTTGTGGATGGTTGGGGATTCAGGAATTGAGGAGATTGGGGAAGGGGAGGGTAATTGGTTTGTTTCTAGAATAAGTTTCGTAAGTCCGAATAAATTGATCGAAACGGAGTTTCGTTGAAAAATATTTTTTATATGGTATTGATGATGCAAAAGTCAATGATTTTGCTATCTAATTTCGCTGGTTGCTACTTTTCTTAATCCTTTTTTTCATTATGAAGCTAAATTATTTTAAGAAGCATTTATCTTGAAACAACAATCAGATATAATTTACACTTTTCAGTTTTATTCTTCACAAATCTAACATTTACACTTAAAACAGAAATCAAGAGTCAAGTACTAAAATCTTTAATTTTCTCTTTCACAGGCTAAACGTCAGGACCGTATGAACACAATAAAGTTGCTACAAGAACAAGAGTATTTAGAGAAGAACTTCCAAGACGATATAGCGGAGCGGAACAAAGCGGAGAGAGTCCGCCATGACACGTACACCGCGCTGACCAAGCAGATCGAGGACCGACGGCGACAGACTAGTGACGGGAAGCAACGGGAGGCTGAGTATAGGAAGCAGGTTTGTTAATTATTTTTTTAATACTTTTGTTTAGGAGACAGGCCTGAGTTTATGTATGGTTTAAGTGTGGCAGAGCCATGCTTGCTCAACCGGAGTGGTACCACCAACGACCAGAAAACGATAGTGAAACAACACATGCGTTGTGTATCGTCGTGTGAGTAAGGTTACAGAAGAGAGACATTTTTCGATTCCAGCCACATTTTTGTTATTTCATCATATAGGTATCCCAATGTTCCTAATATCTTCTCTCACCAACCATTTATTTCAGGTTGAAGCGAAGATCGCGGCAGACTTGGCGAAGGAACGTGAGAATCTGCAGAAGAAGAAAGAGAAAGGCAAGCTCTACTCGCAGGAGCTGTTAAAGCAGATTGAAGCTAACGCTATAAAGAAGAAACGAGATACTGAGATGGAGGAACAACGAGCTGTTTATGTCAAGGAGTATGATAAAAAGTGGTCAGTATACAGTATACTAATGAAGTATTATGGGTTGTTAATGTTTATGAAGCTTCATGTGGCTTTTGAATACGGAAATATTGTTTTGACTATTTAACATTGTATTCGGTAGACTTCAGACCAAGAACATGTTATGAAAAATGAAACAAACTGTTTTTTTTTCTAATTTTTAGTAAACTGTTCCACTTGCAATCTTAAAAAACGATTAAAATTGAAAGAGTTTCTTAATTTCAAAGTAATCACTATGACAACTTTCCTTGCAGGCATGAGGAAGTAGCAAAGGAACGAGAGAAGATGATAGCGGAGCACGTCCCCGGCCTCCTCGGGTACGTGACGGCGGGCGCGCTGCGACACTCGGATCTACCCGCGCTGCGGGCCGGCGCGCGGGGACAGCCGCACCTCGCGCATCTAGACATCGACCACATGGCCACCGCCAAGCGGCCACACCGCTTCGGTAAATGCAACCCGCAATGCAGAATGCTCAGGGAATTTTAGAATGTATTATTTGCTTCGTTGGCTCTACTACTCAGATTATGTCACTATCATCAGGCAGAAGACATCCCATCTATTGCTGGACAATAGCATCCCTCGTTGCTATTGGTCGCTTGACGCCCCTCCTCCCATGGTGTTTAACATCTAGATAGCGCCGTAGCGCGCAAACACCTCATAGGTGCCCCTTATTTTTTGGCGTTGCTGTCACTATAGGCAGTTGGGCACGTCCGTCTCGCGACAGTCTTCTATAATCTGGCACCGGCTTTGCATTTAACTATTTGCTATTTCAACGTGAGCCAGTAAAATATATTTTAATAAAAGTCTATAGCTGAGGACTCACGGCGCGATTTTTTCCCGCGCCCGCAGTTGCGGGCCCGCAGCCCTTGTAGAATATAGATTTGTATATAAAAACTCAAAGCAGCAGCTGTAGCTAGATGCCATTTAGCGCTTGTCTACATGTAGAATAGAAAACCAAATTATATGGGATTGATGAAAATTTTGACACTTGTCAGTGCCATCCCCATACATTTAGTTTTCTACTCTCTCGGTAGACAAGCGCTAAAGTGGCGTTTGGCTAAAGGGGTTATTTTCGCGGCGCGTTTTACGGTCGCGGCTTGTGCAATTGTTCGCGGCTCCTGCCCGGCGGCCCGCGGCCCGCAGCGGGCGGCCCACGGCCCGCCGCCGGCCGGGCCGCGCTGTGCCGCTCGCACTGGCAGGTGGGTGTGGACCTGTACTGGTTGTTGAACCGCCCGCCCGTCTTGCGATAATCAACCGCTAAGTTGGCGGGCGATAACCGCAACCCTGGCGGCTGCGGGCTGGGATTGCAGGAAACTGCGGTCTCGTGAATTTTGATAATTCCGCCTCCATTCCACCACCGTAGTGGGTGCGGGGAGAAAATCACGCCGTGAGTCCTTAGCCTTATGATTGTATAATAGGTTAACTCATATATAAAAGTTTGTAATCAAAAGCTTCTAAGATTGATACCAATCTCAACATTATTGACTAAACACTTCACATACGAATGTGCTGTAAGTAATTGATATAAACATTATTGTAAAAATTATTACATAATTAAGAATATTTATTATCCATGCTTGCAGCTGAAATATCAAAATGTGTTGAAATAGTTGCAGATAACAATCTTAGAAAGCTTTTGAGTATTAACTAAAACTCACGGGTTACTCACGTGAATATACTGAAAAAAAAAGCTCTACTAGTTTAGTAAGCTACGCAACATCGCTACGACCGATGTTGCGCACGCTACTCTCGAGAAAGAACCCCTCTATCGTTCGAAACTAGTTGAGCTTTTCTCAGTATATTCACGTGAGTAACCCGCGAGTTTTAGGTAATTTAGTATATAGAAAGAAAGAAGAAGAAAGATAGAAAAACCATTTATTTTTGCGCAGAACACACATAACATTATTAAAAAATAAATAAATAAATAAAATAAAATTGTAAAGAAAAAAAATATTAAGTTATATCTCACGATAGTTATTATAAAACCTTTTGAATGTCAAATAGTTTTGTTATTTGTTGTATGTACCGTTAATTGCGCTGTTGGTATTTTAATAGTAATACACAAATTGATTTGTGTTGTATTCTCCATGACACACAGACCATCTGTGGTGTATGTATCCAGATACTTAGTTAATATGTATTAACTTTAGATGGATAATTATGTGATTCTTTTTAATCCGTCCAATATTTGGTATTACAATGACCAAATTTTGATTTTAGTTTGTAGTTCAACTTTGCCAGTGTAGTGACTGACCGAGCCGCCCCGCGAGGCCTGGCCCGCGCCATGCTCGGCCGCGACACGTCCTGACTGGTCGAGCATTTGCCTCGCGAAGCTGCTCAGTCTATCAATTCGCTGCTTTTAAAAACGCGCTGAGCTATTTATTAGTAATCTTATGGTTTATCATTAATGCTTACCTCGTATTGATTTTACTTTTAACAATTAGTATAATGGTTAAATTGCCAAATGTAAAATGATGGTGTTAATATTGTAAACTTTTCTAAAAATGATTGAAAATATATTGTTTGGAACTAAAAAGACTGATAATTGTGATTGACTATTCAACTATTGTAATGGAATAAAATTTTGATGAATTCATAATTGGTGATTTTATTTATACTCAACCGATGTAGCCGTTTAATTAAATCAATAAATTCTATCCTACTAATATTGGATGGGGCCCAATAGGGCTGATGTCGATTCGGTGCCGCGGAGAACCTAAATGGTTGCTGGGGGTCCGGCTCGAAGTGCTGGAGTAGGAATGAACGGAGTGGTTATCAATCAGTAAGCTCTCCCTCCCCCCTCACCCAGGCGGGAGCAGTCATTTGATGATTTTCCCCCATTAAAAAATACCCTACTAATAATAAAAATGCGAAAGTTTGTGCAATAACACATAGCCGACTTCAACCGACTTCAAAGATAAAAACTCAAAGTTCTCAGTTTGACCGTATGACCTATATGTATACGTATGTTTGTGTGCGATTATGCGTTGAAGTCAGTTTTTATAAACGTAGTTTATAAAAGAATTATGGTTCTTATTTGATGTGATTACTGCCTCGTTGGCCGAGTGGTCGCAAGTTCGACTGCCGGGCAAGGGGTTTCGGGTTCGATTTCCGGGTCGGGCAAAGTATTACTGGGTTTTTTAAAAATTCTCAGTAGTAGCACGGCGTCTGGAATTGTGCCCGGTATATGGCAATAGGCTCACCCCCTATTGCATGGGACGCATAACATAAACAGTGAAAAGTGGGTGTTACATTGGCAAAATGTGCACCTCTGCCTACCCTCTGTCTGCCTTCGGAGATAAAAAGCGTGATGTTATGTTATGTGAACCCGCTGGCAGAATCTAATGCCATATAAGAATTACAATTGTAACGTCATAAAAGTCTTTATATTGATAACCAAGACGAAGTACCCATTTAAGGATTTTTTTTATAGCTCCAGGAGCGATTGCAGTCCAAAGAGAAGACGAGGCGCGTAAGGGAACGAACCTCGGAGACACTCCAGGCATCACTAATCGCGCGACTATCTCCGGCCACCGTAAGCGCCAGACGGTGAGCAAGGGTAATTCGCCGACCAAACGGCCGGCGTATAGGGTTGCCGGGGCTCCGGCTTGATGCGCAGGAGTAGGAACAGGGTGGTTTTTAGTCAGTAAGAATCTGACACTCCCTCTCGCCTAACCCAAGGCGGGAGAAGACATTGGATGATTTTCCCCCTCAAAAAAAAAGTGATAGGACTCACAAATTGTCACTAGAAAATTAATTGAAATTGAGTATAAAAGTAGGCGAAAAATGTGAGAGCAAACAGTATCTAAGTAGAAGTGATATTCAAACAATAATTACTGGGCAATGTGCTCGCCCCAGAAAATATTTAAACGACTGAAATTAATTCCAAATACACCGCTCGAATATTAAAAGGGTGGACTGTAGAGTGACCACGGGATGTTTTCTGCTAAGGTATTTTTTCTAAGACCCAACGCTCCGTGCAAAAAAATTGTTCGCTTTTATAGTGTTATCAGAGAAAGGCGTGGGTGCGATGGCCCCCATGCCGATGGGCAGAGGGTGCCCTAGACCGCTAGACGCACATATCGACTAGATTGGCGATATAATAAAGAAGGGCTGAATTAAATGTACCCTCAACTGACGGGCACGCGTGAAAAGACGACTGTTGATGAAGCGAAAGAGATATGTAAGAGTCATAGCAATTGGCATCCCATTGTCTTTGCACTCTCGGCCTACCCCGGCGTGTGATTATGTATGTAGAGGTAAAAACGGCTTAGGAAACAGGAAGATTTAATTTTGACTTCATTAACGATACCTATTAATTTGCTTTTATTTAATTTTATCGTCTTAAGATCGACACATACACATAGCACCAACGCAACGTTGATATCTCATGACCTCAACGACAAACAAGCTTATTTTTTCAATATGTATTTGAAGCATGTGTCTACAAAGTCCACAAGCACACAGCCACCCTATCCTCCGAGTGAAAGTTAGCATTTTTGTGCAATAAAGAAATAAAATCCGCGACGTCAGCGTTCGTTCGAACACGTTATGTTAAGATAAACATCAGCCCCTCTATATCGACACGAGCCCTCTATTTGCCGCCCTCCCTTATCTTTGCAACGCAGAATAAAAATCGTGTTTATTTTACGCTAAATTGCTGGCTTAGTGATGTTTTTAATTTTGCGTTATGTTATGAATGTGTGTGGTGAACTTATCGCGGAATTTTATGGTGATTTGAATGTGAATGTGGAAGATATCTATGATTGGATGGAGTGCTTGTTATAGCTGCGCGAACGGTTTGTTATTATGTGTTATGGTTTTGAAGTAGGTGGAAGATTATCATGATACAAGTAGAACAATAGGTACTTTATATTTAAAGCTTGTTTAATTTAATTTCTACTCGATATGAAAAAAAATACTAACTTTTTTATTATAAATATTCTAATGCAAGCTTAGTGTTAGTAGTAGGTTCGAAATAGTGCTACGAAAGCGTAGCATGCGTAGCGTTTGCTACGGTTACGTCGTAGCCAATGCTACGAATATTTTACCTGACATTTAAAAACACCATATTTTGTAGAAAATATTTATTTTATATAATTAGTCAGTCGTGCCTGTGTTACTGGTACTGGCGCTTCCAGGTGTTTTGTGTGATTTACCCTCCTTTTTAGCCTTCAAAACGTATTTCTCGAATGCAGCCTTAAAATCTAACTGTTCTTGTAAGTGCTTCACCTCCTTCATACCTGGAGCGGTTTTCTCTTGGTACCATTTTAGGTATTGGTCGTATTCCTGAACAAAAATGTAATTAAAGACTTTAAGTACATATATATCTTCATTAATTAATTTGTATGAGTTTTGAATTTTAACAAAATAGTCAACTTACGACTTCTTCAGCATTTTCATCGTTTAAAATATAATCATAGACTTCCATTGGAGTAAGTCCATAAGCGGCTATTCTGAAATTAATAAAATTCAGAATTCACAAAAAATATTTCATATTTATTTATATAACATCACGCCTTTTATCCCCGAAGGGAGATGGTGAGGTGTACATTATGCCACTGTACAATGTACTATCCACTTTTCACTATTTATGTTATAAGTCCCATGTAATAGAGGGTGAGACTATTGCCGGGAACAATTCCAGACTCCGTGCTACTAGTGCGATTTTATAAAAAAAACCCAGTATTACTTTGCCCGACCCAAGAATCGAACCCGAGACCCCTTGCCCGGCAGTTGCGACCACTCGGCCGACGAGGCACTCAAAAAATATTTCATATCTACAATATTTCAAATAATAATATTAATATTTTTACAGAAAACAATAATGTTTATGATCCTTAATGACAAATCCGTAAGAGTTACAAACTACAGACTGACTTTCGCTCTAAACTCAACTTACTTGATAATTCTGTCACCCGACATGAACCTCTCCAGCGCGTGTTTCAGATACCCGAAGGTATACCCTCGCAGCATATAAGCCAAGTTGGTAACGTTGAAGTTTGCTGGTATTACTCCATACCTGAAAGTGATGAAGACTATCAATGCCAAGAGTTCGTGTTAATATATGTACTTTGTGGACGCCCTCTGTCCCATATAGTGGACATGGGACCTTTAGTCAAGTGATACTCTATTACTACTAGAATGTAAGTCTCCTCTACAGATATAAAGTTTTATGTTTGTTTTCTAAATTTGTTCATACAAAAGTAGTCTCTATACATTGGACATAAGGTCTGTAATGTAGTTAGTGGAGAGCGTAATCGCTGTTATAAAACTTTTTGTTCATCAGAGAACGCTGTTTCAATGAGAATTCTACGATGCGATGCGAAAAAGAAGGGTACTTAATGTTGAATCTATTCCATCCATTCTGCCGTCACAGTCGCCACACAACTTGATATTTTTATAAGTCACAAGTATCATACGTTTCGCAATAATATTAAAATTAAATTTTAAATAGTTTATTCTACTCCTTAGAGTTGCATATAGTAAACAGAAGGTAGAACTTACTTGACCACCCAATCCTCTAATATCTGCACGACTTGAGAGTACGTATTGTCTGGTAGAAGCAGTACTGTGGGAAACCACTTCAATAAACCCTTGCTTTTGGCTAACCATGGTTCTGTACAAGTACCTGGACAGATAGTAAGTTACAGAAGAGATTGGGTTTGAAGTAAATACCCAGAACGGTTTAGCTGCTTTATTTTTTGTACTGAATTTTGTATCATATAATTCGAAACCTACCAACGGCAAGTACCAATGTGACTTTTTCCGAGTTATATGTATACTTTCTAAGATTATTCAGACACCACTGACAAACGGTGAAGGAAAACATCGTGAGGAAACCTGGGCTTATAATTTCTAATTATAAGTTTGTAATCGCCAACCCGCATTGAGCAAGCGTGGTGATTAATGCTCAAACCTTCTCCGTGTGAGAAGAGGCCTTTGCTCAGCAGTGGGCTGTTATAGGCTGTTGATGATGAATAGGGCTGACGTTTTCCTCTTAGGAAAAAACCCTTCTTATTAAATAAAGATAAAAAAAACAATAATTATGTTAGTAAAAACAACACTTTTAATGAGAACCAAAGACGCAGTTAAATTTTAACTAAAGATAAAATATAAAAATATTTAAACACATTACCTACCTACTATTGTTATGTTGTCAGTCTTGCGAATATTTTTTACCAAGTACTGAACAAAGTACTTTTTTATAAGCACCGAATTCATGTCTATGTCTTCCGGTGGTGACTACAGAACGAAGGAAGAAAGAAAGAAAATTAGTAAGTAAGTAATAAGTTTTTTATGCTAATTATGGCGGCGAACGCGTAAATGAATCACCTGATAATAAGCATTTGCCGCTGCAAATAAACACCCGCAACACAGTACTTAAAAGTGCGTTGTTGACTGATTTGGGGGTCTGAGGTTTTAGAAATAGGGTTTTTGTTTTAAGGGGGAAAATCATCGAATGACTGCTCCCGCCTGGGTGAGACGGGAGGGAGTGTCAGACTCTTACTGACTAAAAACCACCCCGTTCCTTCTCCTGCACGTCGAGCCGGAGCCCCGGTTACCCGTTAGGTTCTTCGCGACTAGAAATTGGGGTTGGAGGGCGGGACAAGGCAATGGACCTCCGGTAATTGCTGAGAGAAGCTCATGACAACACTACCTACATCGCAAATTAGAAAATTACCTTAATATAAAACAGTTTCTGTACGTGTTTTAAATGGATGACACAAGGCTGTAAGACTTTGGTACAAGCAACTACCATTTTAGCCAGACGTTTGAGGAATGGTGCCGTTTGCAAATTACCTTGGACCTTGTTAGGGTCTAAGTCGAAAAGGACTGCATCTGAAAACCAAATTTCATAAACATGACGTTCATTCTCTTATGGGTTGAACGTACTTAGCAAATTAAATAAAAGTACACATAATGACACGATGTATAGTTCATTTAATTATAACAATACATTTTAAATGTCTTTAATTGTATAGTGTTTATAAACCTTTTTTTGACTATCATTTATCTACTATATAAAAATAAGTCAGGTTTTCCTTCCTGACGCTATAAACTCCAGAACCCACGAACCGATTTCCACGGTTTTGCATTCGTTGGAAAGGTCTCGGGCTCCGTGAGGTTTATAGTAAAGAATGTTACCTAAAACGAAGCTATCTGGTGGCGAAACGGAGTTCGCCGGGTTTGCTAGTCATCTCTATTTATGTTCTGTATTGCACTTAATAAGTAGGTACTACAGCTACCATTACGCTTACCGTTAATAGAAGCTAAGACCTTAACAAGTATAGTTTTGCCACTGCTTCTAGGTCCCACCAGCAGAATCCTGTGGAAACCGTGGCTTACTTCTCGACACTTCTCCCACCAGTACGCTCGGATTTCAAAATTGAATGGAAATGTTGGTCTGAAACCAATTCAAAACGATATATGGCCTAAATTATGCTACTTGGTGATGTTATAAACTCAGTCCAAAATATAAACTCATATTAACTTAACTTGTAAAGTTGATTGCATTGAGATCGTTACTGCTACTAGTTATACGGCTTTTTTAGATTTTGTTAACGCACACGTTAACACCTCAGAAGCACACATGCTTCATCAAGAGAGGGGAGCGGCGGCTTGGTAACGCGACGGCTCAGCGACGAGCCGCGTGCTCTCGACACTCCTTACAACAACGCGACCACGATCGCATGATTTTGTTATAACGTTGGACCATTGTACAATACCTAATATATACCTTTGAAATACAGTCCACTTTCATTTCCATCTGGCCCTATCTAGATTTACATTGGTTATTATTATAATGTTGACTGCCTCGTTGGCCGACTTGTCGCAAGTGCGACTGCCGGGCAAGGAGTCTTAGGCATCACGGTTGTAGCACGGTGTCTAGAATTGTGCCCGGTATATGGCAATAGGCTCACCTCCTATTACATGAGACTCATACTACAAATAGTGATAAGTGGGTGTTACATTGTACAGTGGCATTGGGTGCCGTGATATGCATCTCTGCCTACCCAATGTTTATGTAGAAATTCTACACCAACGTATTTTATTTATGCGTATCATAGATGCAGAATCCAACCAGAATGTTGGGTATATGGGATCAAAAATTCTTTGGAATAGTTACTTACACAAGTTTTCGCCTCAAATCTTCTCCACCAAAATTAGGGTCTCCAATAAAATCTTCTAATTTTACTCTAGGATACTCCACGATCAAATCTTGTAGAGCCAGATCCTGTACAAGCCGTAGACATTAATATAAATGATACTAATCAAAAAATGACCATCAACATCTTAGTTGATGACATAACATAACATCAACAGAGGTGCACATTATACCACTGTACAATGTAACACCCACTTTTCACTATTTATGTTATGAGTCCCATGTAATAGGGGGTGAGCCTATTGCCATATACCGGGCATAATTCCAGACTCCGTGCTACTACTGAGAATATTTAAAATATCCAGTAATACTTTGCCCGACCCGGGAATCGAACCCGAGACCGGCAGTCGCACTTACGACCACTCGGCCAACGAGGCATCAGCAGCAGTTGATGAGTATTACTTAAATATTATTGTTCAGTTATTACGATCGTATGTTTCACTTAGTAGGTGCTGCTGCAAGCTACCTTACCTCAATCATTTTATTAATTTTACTATTCAATTCAACGCGAGTCTTTTTCTTCTGCTTTTCCCTTTTCATTGGCTTTGTCACGTCCTTCGGTATTGCTTTTTCGAGAGTTTTATAATCTTCACTCAAAGCCGTCTTCAGTTGTTTAAGTTCTTTCCTAAAAAGATCAATAGAAATAAACGTAAAGTTTCTCTTATGTTTTGTATTTATTTTATTTTCTGCTGCAACATTCCGTTCATGATTTATAATAGCATTAATTACTCTGTGTCCTTTTACCTACACCCATATCATATACTGTCTTTCATGCCGCGGAGAACCTAACAGGCTACCGGCAGGAGTAGAAACAGGGTGGTTTTTAGTCAGTAAGAGTCTGATACTCCCTCCCGCCTCATCCAGGCGGGAGAAGACAATCAATGATTTCCCCCCTTAAAAAATACTGTCTTTCATGATACTTATCAAGTCTTCTCACCTCATATCTTCATCAACTTGTGGCAGAACTTCGAGTGACACTTCCATTACAGCATTAATCACATCAACTTCATGAACATACTTCTCTTTGACATCATTAGTTTCCCATACATCGTATATGTCCCATGACTGGTGATAGTAGTCTATAACCTGCACAAGGAAATTAAAATTATTTTAAGATACAAATGTTATAAAATTCCACCAAAAATTTCCAAGAACAACAAATGGAGTTGTGTAAGTTAGAGATCTCTTTGTAAAGAATTTTAAGATGTTTATTTACGTCCTTAAGATTTTGCACAGTTTTTGAAACGGGGAACTTATATCCTGGATGCATCGTAGGATTTTTCATCATCTTCTTTAATAACAGTGCTTCAGACTTCTTTTTCATTAATTCTTCTTGTTTTAGCAACTTTTCTTGCCTTATTGCTTCTAGTTTCTCGAATTTTAGCTGTAAAACAAAAATGATTTTTGGATAAAATCTGCAAAAGTATGGTCATTGAATGAAACATATTACTTACATCTTGAGGACTTTTCTTTTTGTTAGCAGCATTTTTGAGCATTTGAGCTTCATTCTCCTCGTACCAGTCTTCAGGACTAGGAACATTACCATTGAAGATTGCCACAGGTCCTTCTTTTGGTATGTCGTAGAAAAAACGTACTGCATCAAACCTAATCATTAAAATGAATATTTATGATAGTTTCCTACTTCCTACTAATGTTATACACGCGAAAGTTACATAACATGTCTTTTGGCCATTTAGGTATGTAATTTGTAATGGATTATTATTTACTAGCTTTTACCCGCGGCTTCGCTCGCGTCACAGAAGTATAAAAAGTAACCTATATGACATATACCTATACACACAGCGCCATCTATACCAATACTTTTGTTTCTCCTCGGGAATATCAAGTTTTTCCGGGTTAAAAAGCACCCTATTATTTAATCCGGACTTCTAACTTTACGTCTGCAAAAACTCAAAGCAATCGGTTGAGTGATTACGGCGTGATGGTGGAACAAACAAACAAACAAACAAACTCACTTTCAGATTTATAATATTATAGTAAGGAAGTAAGGATAGTAAGGATACTTTACCATTGAATGAACCACTCCCTGATTTGGTCCCTTAGTTCATCACAGATTTTTGCTTGTCTATATTTAAGGACATCTTCTTTTATCTTGTCACGATGTTGTATCCACTCTTTCTCATAAATTGTTCGTAGTTTTGAACGATTAAGAAGCATCTAGTGAAAATAGAGGGCAATTTGCTAGAATTACAATCTGTGACTTTGCTTTGTTTAGGTATAAAGTTATCACGCCTTTTATCCCCGAAGGGGTAGGCAGAGGCACTTAATGCCACTGTACAATGTAAAAACCACTTTTCACTAATTATGTTATGAGTCCCATGTAATAGGGGGGGTGTCTATTGCCATATACCGGGCACAATTCCAGACTCCGTGCTGAAGAACTGAACTTATTTTTAAAAAACCCTGTAATACTTTACCTGACTCGAGAAATGAACCGAAACCCGGGAAAAGACCTTTTGCCCGGCAGTCGCACTTGCAACCATTCGGCCAACGAGGCAGTCTAGACACTAAGTTAGAAGTAGTGTCATAATTATCCTTGAAACTATTTAGCTTTTCATTTAATGTTTTATATGAGATTCATTAATAATTATGTAGGTACTTACTTTATCTGCATCAACTCTTTGTGTGTCTAAATTCGGCGAATCGCAAATATTAAGTCCCAATAGTTGGTCTCTCTTGCAATCTTCAATCCGCTGTCGCTTCAACTTGAAGTATGCTCTGCACAAACAACCTTTGATGTGGTTTTTCGTAAAATCTAACTACATAAGTCATACTTTATTTATTATGAAATTATACCGTATCGAAGTATAATGTAACTATCCTTGCTACTACATGCGTTATGAATAACTCAATGGTACTTAATCAACCTGAATACTTTACAAATGAGTTGTGAACTTTTTTCTCTGATCTCGTATCTGGCTGGAGGCTGTAAAGTTCCGGTCAGCTCCTTCACCCACGTCTCTCTTCTAAGTCGATTCTTTTTCATCATTTTTATAACTTGTCTAGAAATAAATAAAATTATCATCATCATACCATCACGCCTTTTACCCCCGAAGGTGTAGGCAGAGGTGCACATAATGCAACTGTACAATGTAACACCCACTTTTCACTATTAATGTAATGAGTCCCATGTAATAGAGGGTGAGCCTATTGCTACATACCGGGCACAATTCCAGACTCCGTGCTATTACTGAAAATTTAAAAAAAAACCAGTAATACTTTGCCCGACCCGGAAATCGATCCCGAGACCTTTTGCCCGGCAGTCGCACTTGCGACCAAGCGGCCAACGAGGCAGTCTTATATCATGATATCTAAAAATTAAATTAATCAATAGAGAATTTGTTTGCCTTAATTCAACTCTATGTACAATTTAATAACTATCATTTATTTGTACCGGCTTACTCGCCAAGTAACTCAACTGTTAAAGAAAACGATTCCAAATAAACTTCATACTGCATTACCTGGTTCTCTCATGTGCAAGTATCAAAGCCAGATATTCTCTGGTTTTACGCAATTCTTCTGGTATACTCAGATCCACTTCTTTAGGTTTAAACACAGGCTCCTCCTCTTTCGTTTCTACTCCCCATAACTCTGCAAACGTATCCTGAGGCTCTTCAATTTCTTCTTCTTCTAAAATAGGCAACATTTCCTTCATGACTAATCTGCTTCATTGTATCGTAAACAATGGTTGTATCAATTAACCCCTCACATCAAATTGGCTATTAATATAAATGCAATTTTAAACCTCTCTGTGACTCCTATAGTTTTTTTTAAGGGGGGAAAATCATCGAATGACTTCTCCCGCCTGGGTGAGGCGGGAGGGAGTGCCAGACTCTTACTGACTAAAAACCACCCCGTTCCTTCTCCTGTATCCTTCGCTGATCGTCCCGCGATCCCCGACGCCCGGTGTGTCCTTCGCGATGGCTGGGTTGCGAGGAGGCAGCGCTTCGCTGCCTCACGCGTCCCGCCTCCTCCTTAGCTAGCATGACTACTTCGCAAAAGGAGGAGACGGCATCCCAGTCCCCCTCGCTCCGCATCATGACCTGCACTAGGCCCGGACGCGAGCGGTCGCAATCGCCGATCATGATTCCCTGAGGGCACGGCGGTGCTCAGCCCACGCAGGGCATTGTGTGTTCCACCGTGTCCTCAGGGCGGTCCTCGCAGTGATGACACCCGGGCGTTTCCTCCCGCTCCATCAGACACAGGTACCTCCCGAAACTTCGATGTCCGGTGAGGATCAGGCGGTAGGTGAGGACGCGGTAGCGTCTCTCAAGCCACTCCTCAAAGAGGGGACTTACCGCTGCGATGGCAGCGAGCCCAGGCTCCTATAGTGTTGCGGGTGTCAATGGGCAGCGATGATCGCTTACCATCAGGTGATCCGTCTGGTCGTAAAACTAACTACCCTTGTTTGCTGGTCCATATCATTTCTAATCTCTTCATTAATTTAATTGCAATAATATGTTACTGACGTCTTTACATCTTGTCTTAGTATCATTCATCACTTTACAATTTACATCTTTAGTATCACTTTCTTCAATCTTACCAACTTCTTCAACGAATTCTTTCATTTCCTTCACCCTAGCTAATATTTTATCAAATTCTTCCTGTATATGCTCTGGTCTGCCCTCCTGCATAGGTATTGCGGTCATATCGATATCAAACACCGTGTGATGGACTTCAATCAACCCATGACCGATAAATTGAAAACGACTGCCTTCTAATTTTTCTAATGCAGCCTTTAGTTCAAGTATTCTAAAAGTAAATAAAGATGCTTTGAATTGAAAGTTCTGTCTCTGTAAGTAAGTATACTAGCTTACTAGGCGTTAGTTTTTTATTCATTTTCCATAATATAAAGCTATTAAAAATATTCAATTAAAAATTATCTATAAGTATTTTGTAATAACTCGGTATGGAAGTTTTTTTTATAACATAACATCTCGCCTTTTATCCCCGAAGGGGTAGGCAGAGGTGTACTTTATGCCACTGTGTAATGTAACACCCACTTTTCACTATTTATGTTATGAGTCCCATGTAATAGGAGGTAAGCCGATTGCCATATACCGGGCACAATTCCAGACTCCGTGCTACTATTGTGAATTTTTTGAAAAACCCAGTAATACTTTGCCCGACCCCGGAAACGAACCCGAAACCCCTTGCTCGGCAGTCGCACTTGCGACTACTCGGCCAGTGAAGCAGTTTTTTTATGTTACATATTAATTCTCTACTGACTCTGGGTCCGTATCCATGTCATACATTTTCGGTATGGAAATTTAAGAACCACACTTATAACATTGAATGGCGAAATCGGTATATATATTGTAATTTCACATTTAAAGGTCTTTCATGAAAATGCATTCGAAGTAATTATTAAGTTACCGAGAAACAAGTGCCTTGATAATATTGTCGATGAACACCGTCTTCTGGACTTGCAGGTTCTGATGGCAGCACTCAATGAGTTGGTTGTATACCACCATGTAGTGACCGAGGACTCCAGACAGTCGACGCACGGCTTCGAAGAGGGTTGGATCGTGAGCTTTGGTGACCTGCGTGAAAGGACAGATGGTTGTTTGAGTTCTGGAGAGTAAGAACTGAGGATGCTGATGTGAACTGAATTAATTTGGATTATTTAGTAGTCGTGTAGATAGATAATCAAAGGGATCGATGTACCTACTTTTTAGTTTATTATTTCATAATAATTGTTTGATTCCAGACAATCAGATCGTGAGACAAAGGCAGGCAGGAAGGCTAAATTAACTAAAAATTACGAGTAATCACGTAATTTTAGGACATCGCCGCGACCGCGCAAGCTGCTAATGAGGAAGAGTCCCTCAAAATTAGTACAGCTATTTTCGTTATTTTTCAATTTTTTTTTAAGGCGGAAATCATCGAATGACTGCTCCCGCCTGGGTGAGGCGGAAAGGAGTGTCAGACTCTTACTGACTAAAAATTTTTCAAATAACAAGATAATTCACGTACACAGTTGTATTCAGGAATGGATTTAGTAATCTCGTAAATTCATAAGTTTGAAGAACCGTCTGAGACTTTAGACGAACTTATACACAATTGAAATCTAATAAATATTAATCAAAGTACCTGTAACTCAACGTCATATTCAATCAATTTTTTCAGGTCTCGTAGAGTGCATTTCCATTTGTCAAAATAAAAGTCTTTAGACATAGCAAAAATAAATCAAAATAAATATATAAAAAATAAAATATTTCGACTTAAATAAAGGATAGTTAGTAACCTAAAATAGTTACATGTCTAGTTGGCTTCGGTATGTACTAAGTGTAAACTGTTAATACATATATGTACAGGATTTAGCAAATGATAAAATCGTAAGACGGACCACCTGATGGTAAGCTATCGGCACTTCCCATGGACACTCGCAACACCAGAGTAGATACAAGTGCGTTGCTGGCTTTTAGCACGAAAAATAGAGAAAACCTAATTATTCTCATCATCAGCTTAGTGATAAGAATTCGGATACTGATCACAATTGAAGTTTATTCCTTGGAAACAGAAGCAGTCTCTCAAAAATCGGTTTACTATCACCACCTTGATTCAAAGCATCATTACGCAGATATCCAAGTTCGTCACCAACCAACGTCCATGATGTAACAAAGCCTACTCCGTACTATGAAAGGGCAAACGATACCATTACGTGTTATCGCCACTCAGGAAAACTTACATCATATTCAATGCGGGAAATAAGCGATCGCACTTGACGGCAACGCTCTTACTTATTGCTTTCCTTTCTTATTTTGCAAGGACATAAGGGACGTCTAGCTTCACAGGATAATAAACTTTAAGAGTTTGTGGATAAGGTTGGTTTTTGGTTGAAGGGTGACTGTATTTGTGACGTTTGGTAACGACAGTGTTATCGTGTTTTTGGGCTCTCTCGCCGCAGTTTCCGGCTGCTCTGAACGCTCGGCCATCTTGTCACCGGAAGTAGTAAAGTCTTCCGTAGCGCCGTCTGTCGGCGGGTGGTGGAAACATGTTTTTGTTGTTGAAACACTTTTTTTTTTGTTGTGAAAAGGGTATTGTGGGCGTTTTCACCCTTTAATGTTTTTAATGATCATTGCTATGGGCCTATGTTTCCAAGGGGGATGATGAGTGAGATGGGGATTTTTGTAAATGTTTTAAGGACTTTTTGTAGCAAATTCTTGAAGTGCGAATTGGCAACATGAAAATAACTTTTCATTTATGTTTGAAATATTATTCAACTCTTCTTGAATGTTATAAAATCTTTCTCTTGTATTATCAGACGCTTGACGTAAAATGGGATCTTAAAGCTCACATCGACGATAGGTGAATTTGGATTACGTCTTGTAATTTTTTTTTATATTTGATGGGCCGACGTTTGACCACTATCTCGCCAGGTGGTAAGCGATGATGCAGCCTATAATAGAGCACGTCTGCCCATAAGCAACCAATTTACTCGGGCCTTGAAGACACTCAGGAACCCTTCAGGAACCACAGACTCTGGCAGTAGACAAGAGATCGTAGATCAACATTTAGCTACAGTGTATCTATCATCTAATCATCCGCATCCCGTCCCATACACTGAAATTTTCCATAAACACTTACTTTTAAGTAGAAACCCGTGAACTCACGAGGTGTTCCCAGTTTGGCGGTCTCGCTCGATGCTGTCATCATATTTTTTGGCAATATCGTATTATTAGGTCCTTCGGGATGTCTAGTGGCACTCGATACTTCGACGCTTAGCTCTTAACGTGTCACGGTAACGGTACTCTTCATAAAAACTTATGTGACTTTTATTGGAGCTGTTAAGATGATGGTATGAAGTTATGCTAACCAGATGAGAATGCAGGTGCTTATATAGGAGCTGAAGATCATAATTCATGCCTGTGTGTAATGTATACGACTATACAGAAATCTAGAGTAAATAAAACGTCTATCAATCTAGGACAAGTGTAAGGTTAATTACGTGTGTACTTATTTATATGACCAGTTCCAGCTCAGCAGGTCCAACTTCTATTGGTAGCTGTATCATATTTTCATAACTAGTAAGTGTTAGTATGAATGCACTGATCATGTCTACAAGAATTAGAAATGTTAGAAGCTCTTATACCATACTTGCAAATATAAATAAGATATGACCATACCAATAATGCATAAAATATAGTCTTCATAATGTTCAAAGTCAAAGTATTTATTTCGGTTCTACTACGCGGCGATACCGCGAGCGCGCACGCTATGTGGTTCGAAACTAGTCGAGCTTTTCTCAGTATACTCACGTAAGTAACCCGCGATTTTTAGTTAATTTAGTATGTCTTACGATAGTTATTATAAAAACATAATTTAGTACTTTTTAAACGTCAACAAATACAAAATAAATAATAGTCTGTCTGTTTATACGTCAGTGAAGCTAGGTGCTCCTTCTTTACATAATATTTGAATCGCCTTGTTACTTTAAACATCTTCGGATCAGTATCAAAGACAAACTCACTTAAATCCACCGTCACATCAATACTCCTTGTAAACCCCTTATATATTGAATACTTTTAACAACAAACAGCATGTCAAAGGCACGGTAATAAATTCAAATCAAATTCAATCAAATATCGTCCTCAATATTCTTTGTGATGTCAAAATATACCTTATTTGTTGCTGCTGGTTTAAAGACCCTTGTCTTTGAACTTCATAGATTATAAGGTTCAATTTGACTTGGCGGATAGTTTTTCAGAAGGTGGTTCTTTTTCTCTAATGTGTCACTTCATCATGTGTGTGTCTATTCTTTTAGAATATTTTTGATGTATAAAATAGTTTTTTTTTCATCATATTGGAGGGCCTTTGAGAGGTATCGTGTTTTATGTAAGTGTATCGTGTTTGAAGGGGATGAGTTCATAACAGAGTCAGTTACAATGTCCGTGGGGAATGGAACGTGAAATTTAAAATTTTTTGAAGGCAATTTTTGTAGGATATTAATTTAAAGGTTCGCGGAGAGCGGTGGTAAAGAAAAGTGTTAAGTAATATCAGTATTTTTATGTCTTTCAAGGTGTTTATAAGCAAGAAATGATTATATTATTCGTGAGAACGTCATTCAGTCATTTTATTACTA